AACAAGGACTAGACTGAGCTCTTTGTTTTCCACACAGAGGTGCAACTGGCCCAGGTGAGTCACAGGTAAATCAAGATCAGAGTGCAAGATCACCAGACTCCTGGGCCCTGAGTCATGTAGCTTCCTCAGCTCAGAAGTGTGGGAACAGAGCTGGCTTTCCGCAAGGCCATGGGGCTGCTGTGTACGGCTGACCCTGTAGAAGCCAGAAGTGGCAATTTAAGCAAACTTCCTCAATAGGAGTCCCAGTGCTCTTCCGACCAAGAAAATGCCACATGGTTTAAATTGGATGTTGCGGGCAAGGTAGGTAAATTAAGAAGTAAAATACATATTGAAATGATCTGAGTATTTAGTGTTGCTTAATGGTACAGCATCTGCCTCTCATATGCCAGGCCCAGGGTTCCATCCCCAGCACCACAAAACAAAATGTTCCCTTTGCAAATATGGTATGTTCATTCTGCAACTGGGAGATAAAATGCAATTTCTAAGGGATGCCTGTATCACACTTTTTGGTGGTCTTTAAAAAACCAGACAAATCACAAGCAACCTTGCATATTCATATGCATAAATACACAAGTAGTGGTTGCATTAGTCAGTTTTCTGTCACTGTAACAAAATATCTGATAAAAAGAGGAAAACTTCATTCTGGCTCATGGTTTTTCAGTCTGTGGTCAGTTGGCCCTATTGCTTTTGAGCCAGTGGTGAGGTTGCACAACATGGTGGCAGAACATGACAGAGGAAGCTTCTCATCCTGTGGCAGCCGAGAAAAAAAGAAGGGGAAGGGGATAGATTCTATCTCCTTTGAGAGCACACCCTCAGTGACCTGAGACCTCCCACTAGGATCTACTTCCTCTAAAGGTTCAATCATCTTCCAATAGCACCACTCTGGGGCTTTAACACATGGGCCTTTGGGAAACATTCCAGATCCAAACTATAGCAGTGGTGAAGCCATCTTTAAATGGACAGTCCTGTGTATCTAATAGTTATTATTATGAAAGAACACATAGATTGTGGAGTATCGTTCATTTTCCTTTATCTTATTTTCTTTTTTACTTGTAAATCCCTGTGTATTTTTCCATTGTGACTTCTTGTGCTCAGATAACTTTATTCTGCTGTTTTAACAGCTATACCTCTTGCACATCATAAAATTTCTAAATATTCTTATTCAGTAGTATGGTTTGGATATGGTTTCATTGTGTGTGTCCCCCCCACACCCAAGGGTTCATGTGTTGGCAGTTTGGTCCCCAGGGTGATGCTATAGGGAGGTGATGGAGCCCTTAGGAAGTGAGGCCTTGCAGGAGGTTCTGCTCTTCGAAGGTAGTTCTTGTGAAAGGGTTGTTATAAAAGGAGCAAGCCTGGACCCTCTTTCTCTCTCTGCTCTTGGTTTGAGATGTACTGCTTTCTCCAATATGTACTCTTGTCCCTGCTATCTGCATCATGACAGCAATGCATCCAAGTGCTGGCCCTTTCTGAACCTGTGCAATGTTATTTGGACTTTGAACCTCTAAAACTGTGAGCTAAAATAAACCTCTTTCTTACACAGTTACTCTATCTCAGGTATTTTGTTATTGTAACAAAAAGTTGACTAATACATTCAGCATTCAGAACAATAGTCCCATGACAGATATTTTGTATAGGTGAGAATTCTAAAGACCAAGGGAGAAATTGCTTCTACCTTACATTATCACTTTGCATCTAGTCTTCTATAGATTGAATTAATTTAACTCCTTGAGCTATTCTATAAATGGTAACAATGCTGGGTGAACAAATTTAAATTTCCACACAAATTATCATAATCTCAAATGAGATTTGGAATTGGTAGTCATAAAGAATCAATTATTACAATGTTGAGATATGTTCCTAATATCCCCCAGTTTTTTAAAATATTTTTTTAGTTATAGGGGGACACAATATTTTTATATTTATGTGGTGCTGAGGATCGAACCCAGTGCCTCACACTTACCAGGTAATTGATCTACCTCTGAGCCACAACCCCAGCCCCTATCCCTAGTTTTTCTAGTATTTTGAACATCAAGGGGTGCTGTTTTTGTCAAATGTTTACTCTGCATCTATTGAGATGAACATATAATTTTTATTTAAGTCTATTGATGCAATGAATTACACATATTGATTTCCATATGTTGAATCAACCTCACATCCCTGGAATGAACCCCAATTGATTGTGGTGTAGTATCTTTTTCATATGTTTTTGTATTTGATTTGTCAGAATTTTATTGAGAATTTTTGCATCTATGTTGTTCATTAGAGATATTGATCTGAAGTTTTCTTTCTTTGATGTGTCTTTGTCTGGTTTTGGAATCCAGGTGATAATGGCCTCATAGAACGTCTTTGAAAGTATTCCCTCTTTTTCTATTTCATGAAATAGTTTGAGGAATATTGGTGTTAGTTCTTCTTTAAAGGTCTTGTAGAACTCAGCTGTGTATCCATCCGGTCCTGGGCTTTTCTTGGTTGGTAGGCTTCTGATCGTGTCCTCTATTTCCTTGCTTGAATTGATCTGTTTAAAATCTGTATATCACCCTGATTTATTTTGGGCATATCATATGACTCTAGAAATTTGTCAATGTCTTTGATATCTCTTCTATTTTATTGGAGTACAAATTTTCAAATTAATTTCTAATTATTTTCTGTATTTCTGTAGTGTTCCATCATAATATTTCCTTTTTCATTATGGATGTTAGTAATTTGAGTTTTCTTTCTCCTTCTCTTCATCAGCATGGCTAATGGTTTCTCAATTTTATTTATTTTTTCAAATAATCAACTTTTTGTTTTGTCAATTTTTTCAACTGTTTCTTTTGTTTCAATACTATAAAAGCTATCTATGCTAAACCCCAGGCCAACATCATTCTAAATAAAGAAAAATTGAAAGTATTCCCTCTAAAAACTGGAACAAGAGAGGGATGCTCTCTTTAGCCATTTCTGTTAAACATAGTCATGGAAATTTTAGCCAAAGCAATTAGACGAAAGAAATTAAAGGGATACAAATAGGAAAAGAAGAACTCAAATTATCACAATTGGCAGACGATATGATTCTATACCTAGAAAGCCCCCAAAATTCCACCAGACATCCTCTAAAACTAATAAGTAAATTCAGAAAAGTAGAAGAATATAAAATCAACACCCATAAATCAAAGGCATTTCTGTACATCAGTAACAAATCCTCTGAAGGAGAAACTAGGAAAACTACCCCATTGAGAATAGCCTCAAAAAAAAAATTTAAAACTTGGGAATCAATTTAATGAAAGAGGTAAAAGACCTCTAAAATGAAAACTACAGAACACCTTAAGAACACCTAAGAAGACCTTAGAAGATGAAAAGATTTTCCTTGTTCTTGGATACGCAGAATTAATATTGTCAAAATAATCATATTACCAAAAGCACTATACAGATTCAATGCAACTTCAATCAAAATCCCAATGACAGTCCTCATATAAACAGAAAAAGCAATCATGAAAATTATCTAGAAAAATAAGAGACCCAGAATAGATAAAGCAATCCTTAGCAAGAAGAGTGAAG